ATTAGTTAATTGTTGATTTAAAAATTATATTATATTTCAGTCGACGATACGGATATCGAGACAGCGTACAAATCGAATTGATTTTGGCGTACATAGTTCTGTAAGTGGAAAAATATAAATATATTTGAAATATTTATAAATTAAGTATATTGTCAAAGTATGTGCAATTATGTGTTCGAATTATATGGTTATTATGGAAATCTCTTTTATTATGATACAAGTGGAATATCAAAGATTATTTATGGCATATTTGTGACTTGTTATGTAAGACATGTGATATTGAGATTTGTTTGGTATGTGAAACATGTAATATTGAGATCGGCTAGAAAAATACCCATGATTATATACTTATTCTAGTTTACAGAGGGGCCTTGGCCGTGTTCTATCCTACACGGAGGGTCTTGACCTGACATTGGTCTTAATCGTGTACATATAGTTCACAGAGGGGCCTTGACCGTGTTCTAGAAATGATTATGAGAGGTCTTTGAGACCCGCTTTCGTTCGTGGAGGGGGCCAAAGGCCCGTAGCAAGAGCTCTTAGCCCGAGAGGCGGATTACATATTTCAGTCAGATGGTACATTTTTGGTGAATTTTCAGCACGTTTGATGTAATGAGATTATAGCATGGTTATCAGCTGATGTTATATCATGATTTTAAGATGATATTTTTATGACCTTATGTGAATATTTCACTTTTTTGTTATAATTACATTATGGTAGCTTGTGAATTATCAAATGGTATGAATTTGATTTTCAATAAAAATGTATAAATGAAAAAGTATATTTATTTTGAATTTCTCCACTCACTGAACTATCAACTCATATATTTTTTCACGTTTTTTCTTATAAGGAGGTAGTTGAGAATCTGAGCATCTTTTGGAGTTGAGCCTTGATTTTGGAGTCAGAGCCACACGACAGAGTTTGTTAGTATGACTCACTTCATAGAACATGTAGTCAGTGTTTTAGGACACATGTTCATGTCTAGATGTGATTTTACATCATCTTGTGGATAGTTATGGGGCTCACTATGTATTATGTATCCATATGTATTTTCATTGTATATCTTGGTAAAAGTGGAGATTTTGGCTTATCTTTCTTGTGTTGTGCTATAGTTTGGGATTTGTATGAAATTGATCACAGGTTGGTTAGCCCTGTTTACAGGGGAGATAATGCCGAAATTTTGTTAGAAAAATGATGTATAAAAAGTGATATATTGTATTTGTAGTAGCCTTGATGGTGTGTTCGACTTTTAGTTGGTATCTATCATCGGTACATGTCACGTCCGAATCTAGTGGTGTTACACGGGGCGGGGTGTGTCAACTAAGTTGAACTACCTTGTGGCTATAGGCCAATTAGCTATAAATGGGTTTTCAAGACCCAGTATAATTCTGAAGGTCAGATAGGAAAGTATAAAGCTAAGCTTGTTGCTAAGGGCTTCAATCAAAGAGAAGACATTAATTATAAGGATACCTTCTCGCATGTTTCTACCAAGGATTCTTTTCGGATTATTATGGTGTTAGTGGCTCATTTTGATCTCGAGTTGCATCAAATGGATGTCAAGACAGTCTTTCTTAATGGACACTTATTTGAGGATGTATACATGATGCAACCAGATGATTTTCAAGTCGGTGGAAAGGAACACATGGTGTGTAAGCTTAAGAAGTCTATTTATGGGCTCAAGCAAGCATCGAGACAGTGGTACCTAAAATTTGATGCGATTGTCACTTCTTTCGGTTTCAAGGAAAATGTTGTTGATCAATGCATATACTTGAGGGTCACTGGAAGTAAGTGTATCTTTCTTGTTCTTTATGTTGATGATATATTATTCGCTGTAAATGACATTGAGCTTTTACTTGAGATAAAGCGCATGCTATCATCTCATTTTGATGTGAAGGATCTAGGTGAGGCCTCTTATGTTTTGGGGATTCAGATTTTTCGTAATAGATCTAAAGGCGTTCTTAGATTATCTCAGAAAACCTACATTGATTAATTTTTGAGTAGGTTTAATATGCATTATTGTTCTCTTGGAAAAGTATCTATTGTGAAAGGTGATAAATTTTCTAAGTTTCAATGCCCTAAGGATGATAATGAGGACTCAAATGCAAACAATTCTCTATCTTCATATGTGGGTAGTTTAATGTATGCTTGAGTATGTACATGGCCTGACTTTGAATATGTTGTCAGTGTACTTGGGAGATATTTGAGTGGTCCTGGTTTAGCTCACTGAAAACTTGTAAAGAAAGTACTTAGGCTTTTGCAAGGCATTAAAGATCCAATGCTTACCTATCGACGATCTGACATTCTTGATATAGTTGTATATTCTGATGTCAATTCTGCAGGTTGTTTAGATGACAGGATGTTTACTTCTGGTTATGATTTTATGATGGCAGAGGGAGCTTTTTCTTGGAAAAGTGTAAAACAGACACTTATTGCTTCCTCTACAATGGAGGTAGAGTATGTGGCTTGTTATGAGGCTACATGTCAGACTATATGGTTGCGGAACATTTTTCTCGGGGCTAGGTATAGTGAACACCATTTCGAGGCCGTTGAAGATATTTTGTGACAATTCTGTAGCAGTTGCTTTCTATCGAAATACTAGAAATTCTTCACGCTCTAAGCATATTGATATTAAGTATTTGTTTGTAAGAGAGAAAATAAATGAGCCTTATATTTGTATTGAGCATATTTCAATGGATCATATGTTAGCTGACCCACTAACTAAAGTTTTAGCTCCAAAAATTATTTCGGGAGCATGTGGCTCATTTGGGATTGCTAGAGTCTTATGTAGTATATGATTAGTGGGAGTTTTTTAATCATTGCTATTTTACCATATTATTTATGCTCATATTCTGTTTTGTTCTTTAAATACAGTAATGTCAATGAATGTTTAGGTCATGCTAATTTTGGACAAGGTGTACTTTATGTATTGAGACATTTTGATCAGTTTCGTGCTTGAGTCACGAGCATTTTGAACAAGGCAATGTTTATATATATAATGAGACATTTTGACCAGTCTCATGCATGAGTCACGCGTATTTTTGGACAAGGCAATGATTATGTGTATTGAGGCATTTTGGTTGCCAAACGCATTATGGACGAGGTGTATTATCTATAAAAGACATTCAGATTTGTCTCTCGGGCTTCTTTTGGAAATGGGTGTTTATCGCTCTTTTGATATTTTCCATACTGCTTTTACATCTCATTGATAAAATAAATAAATAAATGTTTTTTCAAATAAATAAATTATTAAGAATAAAAAAAGTTAAGAAAATGATTAAACACTATCTTATTTGGTGCAAATTTTAGTGAAATGGTTGAAAATGATTTTTAGCTTGGTGCAAAATTGTGCAAATTTTAGTGTAGAGTTGAAGATGGCCTTACGATGCTTTCTCAGGCTACAATAAGATCACGATGATAACTGAGAAAAGACGGCCTCCGTGATTGAACAAGGGACTTTCTATCATACTAAAGAATTGTCACAGAAACATAACGGTTTCTGGTAAACAAGATGCTTATGGATCAACTTGGGAATGGATCAAATTCTATATGAACTATGTTTACCCCCGTTTGTTATCCTTTAAAAATTTAAATTGTTTGCTACATGATCATTCTCCACAACACATTCATATAATAAAATATTTTACTCACAAATCAATGATGTTTCCTTATTTTTTAACCATACATTTTTCAAAAAATACTATTAAAAAACTCATTATTCTCGAATAAATTCTATCAAATAGGCTCTTAATGTATTCTATGATCACTGAGCGAGTCGTAGACAACCTCCAACAAACCTTCCGAGTGTTGAAAAATACACTATGAAGCCCTACTCCACAAATATTCCTTTAAAGCATAGCTGGGAAAAACTTTCTAGGCTACTTAGTGACACGAAGGATCGAGCCAACGAGAAATTTCAAAAACTCCTCGATATAATTGCAATCTAAATATTTAGGATGTGTTTGATTGTAAACATAAAATTTACATAAAAAGAAAATAAACTCTAGACAATTGATTTGTCTAAAAATTATTTGCATGAAAATTATCAATTAAATGTGTTTAATTTTCTCAACCTAAAAAATGTTATATTTTTTCATTTTTTATTGGTAGGTAAATGATAAAGAAGGGGAGTAGATGTGAGAGAAAAAAAAAAGTAAATTACTTGAAAAATAAAAACCCATCCAATCTAAAAAAAATATATATATATTTTACGAGAAAAATATAATTACGTAATCAAAAGTACGAAAATATTTTTCATAAAAAAATTTAATCAAACAGCACGAAAATAAAAATTTGATTAAAAAAATAACATTTTTGATAATCAAAGGCACTTTTAGCACTTTTAGACCTTTCGAAAAGTGCCATTAATTTTTTCAACATAGTATGGAAGAATAACTTATTCAATTAGATCCAGAGTGAGAAACAATCCTTGAGCAGCTCAAGTGTTACATGACCTTCAGCCTATTTTTGTCCACGCCAAAAGATGGGAAACCAATCATGAATCAAACAATTATATATAGAAATTAAAATCCAAATTTCAAAATAGGTCAAAATTAACAATTAATTTCAACCACATATTTCATAAAATATATAATTTTTCACATTCCATCAACTTTTATCAAAATCTACTAAAAATCTGATTTCGATTCCTTTCAAGCTGGGGCTATTTGTACTTCAGCAATCTGAGCAGAGTTTTCCAAGTTTAGTAGGGTTTCAAAATGACATAGTTAAAAAAAAGGTTAAACCCCAACCTTAAATGTCCCCATCACCCTGTCCTTGGAAAATCGGGAGAGATACTAATCGCGAAATGTACTCCAGTAGGCCAAAAAACAAGAGCTGCATGTACTATGGTGCCCACAAAAAATCATAATCCATATTTCAGGAATCAAACCCTTACACTGTGACTGTCAACAAGACTGAGTAAACTTCACCCTTGTCCTTTACACCACTGGAATATATCCCGAGGGGCGAGTTTCAAAATGACATAGTTGTTATTACATCGAAAGGCCCAAGTGATATTAAATTCTTATTCATGATACGCAATAAAGAGAACAAAAACTAAACTCGTAGAGCAATGGAGAAACCCTTTTACTAGTGAACTGCTTACAACTCTCGAGTCTTGGAAACAGCCTCACTCAAGGTAACACTATGCAGTGGATGGATATCGTGTACATACATCTATTTACACTAATAATACTCTTACTCCCCAAAACATCCTTAAACAGAAAGGATATAACAACAACATTTAGAGTAGCCTCCAGGGAGAAAAGGATCGAAGCCTCGATATCGTTGTATATCACAGGTCGTAAGGAGGAGGAGGGCTCCTGGGTCCAACTCCGCTAGCCTTCTCGTAAGCAAAGGATGCAGACCTCCTACGAAACCGAAATGCCTCTCTTCCTCCTGCACCTAACCTTATTCATAATCAAAAATTAGCCCCAGTTGGGTGTATATTAAAATCAAACTTCTAGTAAATTTAGATAAAAGTTATAATCAAATATTTGGCTGTAAACATCTTAATCCCATAGAATTTGTAATCAAAATTAATTGTTAACTTTAACATGAAATTTTAATCAACTTAAAATCCAACCGACGGGAGCTTAATGTCATTAACGCACTAAATGAGACTACATAGCATTACTTTTAATAACTATAGCCAAAGTCGTAATTCTATTATAAGTTTTAACAATTCCTGGGTCTGTTTAAGCAATGCCACGCACGAATTCGGGAAGTGGACAAAGGCATAATTCTATTTTAAGTTTTAACAATTGTATCCTAGTAGATTCCACAAATGTCACGCTTAACTCTCAAGACAAAATTAAAAAATAAAATAATTGGCCCATCATACCTAAACTTATCTCATCTCTAATCTCTATTATTACCGATTATTACTGTGACAAGCTTCCTAAAAGGACTAAAATACCCTTATCGTTATTCCGTTTTCGAAAAACAAACTGTCCAAATTACCCTATTCAGATTCCCTGAGATACTTCTAGACCACATTATTACCCGGGGCACTTTAAACAATAAATTTGCAAGAAGGTACTGGAATGTTTGACATCATAATTAGAATAAAATATAGAAAAATATGATAACTCATGAAGCTAACCGGAACCGGCTTACCGGCGAAAGGAGATACGGGAGGTGTGGAGGTAGCCGGCGAAACCAGCGGCGAGCCTTTCTGAACACCTTGAGGCTTTAATATCATAATGCTTCTTGTAACCCTCACTTCATCCTCACCCGCTTCATCTCCAAGAGATCTTGGATTCGCATCTTCTGAATCTGATCCCGTAAACGCGAATTTAAACCAAAATTTTCGTAAGCAAAATAAATTCTAATCACAATTAAATTCTTGACAAATACATAAATTTCCATTATAATAATTACCTTCTCAATTTATACGTACTTAATTCTATTTCTCGAAGTGACAATAACAAAAGTATATTAATCTAATCGATCCGAACTTTAAACATTTTCCTGTTAATAAGTGGAAAACATTAATACTCGGTGAAAATCTAGAACATAGCCAGCTAAATTAAAAGCTTATGGAATGATTATCTTAACAATATCCAAATTCATCTTAATGTATATATGATTATTGCACAATATTATGTACAGAAGAATTTAACGAGTTCTCAGGGGTATCATGTTACGATCAGGGTGGACCACCGGCTTAAGATGGCAACAAAGGCGTACCCTTGCCGTAGTTAAGCCGGAAGCCAAAGGTAGCGTGTTTTCTGAGTTTCCCTAGGCCACTGTCCGGCTGGGGGCCGGCAACGGTGTCGTCCCAGAGCTGGTCAAGTAACCCCATGGGCGCAATTTAGCGAGCTCGGCTCATGTAGAGCTCAATTGACACTGCCTATTAGCTATGTTATTCCCTAATTAAGAGCACTGAGCGGAGATATTTAAGGACGAAATGAGCGTTAAAAGTCGAGCAGGTTTATGTTAAGATGAAATCTGTACCGTGCGATTGGATCTGGGGGATCTGCGATGACGTGACGTTAAATGTAGATAAGATCGACATGACCGGTCCAAAGTTTTAGAATATGTTATTTATACAAATTAGACTGATAAATTTGGCCCATGTTCTCCTCTTCAATCTTTTTCTCACTCTTCTTTTTAATTACACAATTTTTCATAAAATAATATTATATACAAATCAAAAAAATTTCATTCTATTTCAATCATAAATTTTTCAAAAAATATTATTCCAACCATTAAAATTTAAAAAAAACAAGAGCCAAACGGGTGCTTGGTTTACATGTTATGTATTGATAACATCTGAACTAATCATTTCAAAAACAATTTTTAAAATCAATAGAAATTAATGGCCAAACAAAGTTTGAACAACTAGGATCCATTTGATTGCAAAAATAAAATTTGGTTGGAAAGAAAACAAATTCGAGAGAATTGAATTGTCTAGAAATTATTTTACTGGGAATTGTCAATTAATAGTGTATAATTTGTATAATTTTTCACCTGAAAAATATTAAAATAAAAGTATATTTTGATATTCGTTTGACTTTATTTTTCATGAAAATTGTCAATTTTAGAGATGTCAACTTCTACAATTATTCCTAGAATTTGTGTCCATTATAAAAAAAATTCAAAAATCATCTATATTTTAGTATTCGTTTAGCTTTGTTTTACATGAAAATTATCAATTTAATGGATATCTCATTTTATAATTATTCTTATAATTTGTTCCCATTGTCAAAAATTTAAAAAAAAACACACACACAAAAAAAAGGTGGAAAACCAATTCTCAAAATGAATTCTATGAAAAACTTTTGCAATCAAACACAGAAAAAAAAAAAAGTTGGAAAATAGAAATTTTTTTGGAAATTATCTCCAATCAAGCAGGATTTAGATTAATTCGGAATTTTATTTGACACGTGGAAGGCTGTTAATGAGACGCGCTATCACGTCACGTGATAAGTCGTTTTTAATGCAGTAAAAAGTTATAAATGTGTCTTGACCATTACCTAATACCAGTGACTTTGCCTTTTATTCTTGCTATAATTGAACTAAAGTCAAAGGGTATGTTTGGTATTGTCACTTATTTAGATGTGTTAAACATTACCCATATTTTACAATTTAGAAAAAAATTATTAGCACAACATTTTTTTTTTTATCTGAACTACTTTTTAATTATACTTAATTTTTTCAATTTTTGCTTATCATAAAACTTGTATCCCTAACATTTGTCACCTATTCTTTATCTCAATATTTTATTAATTAGCACGTCTCGTCACTATAATAGTTTGCATCCAAAAAGTTCGTTCAAATGGTGTAAAATTAATTAGAATTTGCTTGAATCACATTTTTTTTGAGAAAATGGATTTTATAATAGAGAGTTTATAGGAATGTAGGGTTAAAAAGTAGAAAAAAATTGAATTTACATGTAAAATTATTACATTGAGAGAATGTATGATAACAAATGAGTTTGAGAGAAAATTAATATTTTAAAGATCAAGCTTGAATAAGGGCTTAATTATCCATCATATCATTTATACATCTCTTCCATAATAATGATATTTGTATCCACACGGACTGTGTGCCTAAAAAGTTTGAAATCCATGAAAAAATTTATGCTTGATCAACTTATAAATTTTAAAAAACTTTACCACCTACACTCTAAAGAAGTGCTTTGATGGATTGACCTTGCACAACACCCAAATAGTCTTTTAACTTTACGTTATAAAGTGTTACACTTATTTATTAAATTCTAATACATATAATGTTGTTTAAAAAAAAAAAAACTAGTTGATAAAAGTTGAGTTATGATGTCTCGACTTGTCATGAGCACGAAATTAGAAAGTTATTTCAGGGGTATAGATTGATAACCCAAATTACGACACTTATCTTTTTGAAAATACAAAATGTTAGTCAACAACTATAGGGCACAACAATATTTTTTCCGTGTGCAATGAACAACTTATATGACTTTCACATAGTGCTTTTGTTACGAATTTATTTTTATACTATTTAAATTATAAATAAATAAAAATAAATGATATATATTTCATAATTCACATAGGAAGCGTATCTTCTTGGCTGATCTCACTAAGCTGGCTCATGCAAAACTTGACACGGTTTGCCTGGCGGCAAGCAGCCCACCAAGGCCAATGTTAATTTTTTGGTTAGTTTTCTAAAGGAAATAATAGAAAAAATTAATTTATGGGAAAAAATCATAGTTCGGTGACTAAGTATACACCGTAGCATATATCAGATGTATAGTTTGAAGATTCTAAAGTCAGGTGTGTGTGTGTGTGTGTGTAGTTATAGTCGTTTCCTAAAATTACGCCTAGTTCCCTTCTATATCATGACTTATTTTAGTACAAAATCGACTTCCCAAAATTAAAAAATTCAGCTAGCATTCTGCGTTCTCACCGTGAAAACCTATTCTGGCTGCTGACGATAACGAAGCAGGTAGCAGTTATCACTGATTTCGATGAGAAATTTCACAATCTCACCCGCGATGGAAACGTCGAGTCACATACTCCGGAATTGTGTTCGATAAATCGAATACAATCACCGAAGACAAGAATAATCAATGAATTTCAAACCACGATTCTCAATTTAGTAATACAATCATATTTGCAGCAGAATAAATCTAACATTAGTCGCAAAACTCTTGATCATCACTGAAAATAGAGTACACGTACGTGCTTCGACATATAATCTGATATCTGACTATGTGACCAATGCATGTATTATATGTAATGCAATATGAAGGTCACATATGAGATGTGTGATGAATGTGTCTCAACAATATTGAAATTCATATTCTCCGTGATTGACTTTTTGAAGAATGTGACCTGAGTCACTCAGTATATGGAACTACCGCGCATAATCTGAGTGAGATAATTGTGTTACATGATTTGTGACCCATGTAATATGCAGTGATATTCATTCTTACACGACGTACTTCCAAAAATGTGACCTGAATGAAAACACTCGTATAATTAAATGCACACTGTATATGTGACTATGCACATGCTTCGTGTATGTGAATTATGATGCCTAACCTGTGATTTATATTTCTACCATGCATTCACTTGTGACTTTGTGGAAAACGTGTATGCCTACTATTTTAGGAATTCATACACAAACTGTGTCAACCGTTACACTTTCATCACTAGACCACTAATAAATGTAAATTTAATTTGCAAAAAAGGTATACCTACACGTGTGCCTGTTGCATGCATCTCAAACTTCTTTGGCGTTGGTAGATCGAAATTGCAGATATGTAAACTGTGTGGACACGGTTATAAAGGAGTTCGATTTGGATCCTACAATGGTAGCAATCTCAATGAAGTACATACTGAATGAAGATTTGCCTCCAATTAGAATCAGAAATGACAGTAATGTGCTTTCTTACATCATGCTAAAGGATATGGAGGACGAACCTACTAAATACCCATTAATCATTGATGCTGCAGAGGTAGAAGTAGATAAACCATCTATCACACTGCCAGTTAATCCACATGTAGCTGGTGAGTTATGTAAGTTGCAAGATATATCATCAGACATCTGTGAAGCAGCAATTGCAAATGTAGGTCACATTTACGACAACGAAATCACAGTTGTTTATGTAGCAGATGCTAGATAGGTCGAAGAAGGAATTGTCTTCTGTGATAAAGATATTTTAAAGTTAAACCTGTCACTTTTTGCCATGCAGAATATATTTAAGTTTATGATGGAACGGTCAGACAAAAAAGAATATATTGTGAGGTGCTCACAAGAGGGATAAAGTTGGATATGAAGAGTATCGAAATGGGGTAAAACGGAACTGTTGAACATTCGGAAGATTGGTAGTCACACATGTGCATCAAATATAGTGTTGGGGTCACACAGACAACTATCAGCTACAGTTGTGTTCGCTAGTATATGTCGTCTCGTACTATATACACACCGAAGGATATATGCAGTGATATGTTGCATACTTATGAGATTTATTTAAATTATTCGAAAGCGTGGAGATCTCGCGAGCAAGCCTTGAAGATGATAAGAGATCATCCGACTGATTCGTTTGGTAACATACCAGCTTTTTCTACATGTTTCGACAAAAGAATCTTTGGACGATCACAAACTTGAAGGTTGATAGTCACAATTGCTTTAGGTATTGCTTTATGGCACTTGGTGCATCAATACGCGGCTGGAAACATTGTAAGCCTGTAATTATGATTGACGGTACGTACTTGAATGGTCACTACGGAGGTACTCTTTTCACAGTGTGTACGCAAGATACAAGTAATAGTGTATTCGTCCTTACATTTGGGATTAGAAATAATGAGAACGACAAAACTTGGAGATGGTTTTTAGAAAACCTAAAAAGGCGTACAAGAACAAAGAAGGGCTATATTTTGTATCGAATCGGCATAATAGTATAAATAATGTAATACAACATGTGTGTCCGGGAACCTATCATAGTATATGTTCGTATCATTTGCTGTAGAACTTGAAGTCACATTTTGGAAAATCTGGACAAAACGTTACACAAGCTTTCAATTCAGCTGTTAGAGTTTACACATTGGAAGAGTTCAAATATCATATGAGGTAACTGGACGGACACAATGAATTAGAAGATTAGCACTTACTTGGTATTGTAGTACTTCAATGTAATTTTTCATAAAATATTAGAATGATTACATATTGTAGTTATATAATATTACTCAATGCAATACATGTTTGCAGGTTGAGATTGGACCTGAAAAGTGGTCACGAATCTATATGCCACAAAATAGGTATTCAACAATGACATCGAACATCGTGAAATCAGTCAATGCAGTCACGAAGGTAGCCAGAAATTATCCAATCGTATCCTTGCTAGAGTCATTACGATAAACTACGCAAAACTGGTTTTGTAAACATAGAGACAATGCGCATGGG